ATGATACTAATTCAAAATTTTTAACTTGTTGAGATTGTAAAGACAAAATACATTTATCAAATCACACCAATAAATTTGTCAATACTCGATCTAGCACCATTATAAATAAATTACACGTTTAAGCATTAACATTATGATGAGATTAGTCGGACCCCAACAAAGTCACTCCAAAGCTCATATTTAGATATGAACAGAACTCGCCTCTTTGAAATGAAGGTCGGATTGTGTACAAAACTAAAAGACGGACAACACCCTCAGAGGCTAAAACCCAGATCGTGATATGAGAAGTACAATCTGATTCCCTGAAAATCGGACTCTGACATAGCATTAAACGTACACAAGTCATACGTCAGTTACCCGAAGGATAAGCAATCAACTGACATGGGACCCACTGGGCGGTTCTACACCAAATAATCATAATAGTAACATACCAATCTCGGCAAGCATGTCCGTGGATTTCATTGTATAAATACTCACAATAATTGTATAAAAAAGAGAGATGCAACTTTTACTATAACACTGTAACATTTTCCATGGAACTCTGGAAAAGCAGGGAAGAAGGATCCGACTAAATTCATATATAAAACACGAGTAAGTCCGACATCGTCTGATTAAATTTCTCATCTTAGTTCATTGTTACTATGACATTTGTTGCAGTCTTGATTCAATAATCACATCATAGTTCCCATAATTTTGCGTAATTAAGATCATCTTTAAACTTAGGTCTTGGAGGATTAACTCATTGTTGCATAATTTGTATAACAAAAACCCACATCTAACTTAAGTTTTCTAAGAATTCAATAAGATTTTTTTTTTGAGTATTGAAAAACATCACTCATATATCAAAGAAATACATCTAAATCTTGTATTATGATTACAAAAGAACATCTGGTGAGTTTGGTTCGCCTAGTCTCAAATTGACTCGTTAAGGCTAGAAGAGATCTACTCGATTCTGTTGGTTATCTCGATAAACGCATGCCTGAGCTTTAATATCAAGAGTTGGAGTCGGGCTCAATTCAATTATACCCCACGAGTTTATAAATGGCGGAATGTGAAAATGAACCTGAATTGGATTATAAAATACAACCTTTCACCAATATATATTGCTGCACATAATAAACAATCATTGCAACACATAATAAAGCACTAACCATTTGCTAATGATAATATTAGCATATGAAAACACAAAAATTTACTAATAGGCCAAAACATTTTCAACTTAATTATAACGCAAAAGAAAATAATGAGAATAGCTCCATAGTCAAAATACGGAACGTGGACTGTGAAGGTGGCACCGTGGCAGTTGATGTGGCCACGTGTCAGTCAATTACGTTAGCAGAAGTTTCAAAGACAGCAGACATAGTATTATTGCTTGTGAACGCGTCCGTTCTTATCAGGGTAAGGGTACAACTCTTTCTTTCAAAGTCCAACCATATAAGTACGGCTTTCTAACTTCATCTACAAAAACGTACATAAAAATCTAGTATTTTATTTTATCACTCTTTTTTTTTTCTTCTTTAATTATTATTGTGACAATTATCATTATCATAATTAAGTTGGCTTTCTTTTTCGTATAGAAGAAAAATATGAACGGAGATTCGAGCTATGCTTGTTTAAATCAATTCTAAGCTTAGATATGAGCTCACAATAAGTTATCCTTTTAATAAGATTGTTCAATTTTTTGGGAAAGATTCAATTCGATGAATATACTCATACTAAAGTTGTTAAACGAAATGAACTATTAGTAGGTTCTGCTCTTCTAAGCTTTAATTAAAAGTCGACTTCATAAATTAATTAATGTTGAACTCGTTTATTGACTCGCTTAGTTGTGCTCGTCTCGTCTCATTTGCACCCCTATAACTCATACAAATGAACCGTTTTAAGCCACAATAGTGTTAGCACTCATGAGGTATGTGAAACTCATGGCTTCATATACTAGTAGAACATTATATTGATTATTACTACATATGGTTGATATTATAACAAATATATAAATTTTTATGTGTGACAATCAACGATAAAACGAGTAATCCATCATAGTATGAATGTATATCTATATTTTTACTATACAGTGTTATACTTATATTTACATTGTTTTTCAAATTATAACATTTTTTTAGTTAAAATATGTATGATACATATATAGTTTTTGAATGGTTGCACCAACCTAATAAAAGACTAATATATCAAAAACTATTAGTTTAATTTTTGTAATGTTAGACATCATTTATACCTCTAATACTAAGTATGTGATAGAATTACTAATAAAATTAGTTTATGTAATTTTTATTGTGTAAATTTGAAAATCATCTATAACAATGTGCTACATCATATTGATAACATTACACACCATATGATGCTCATTTAATTTATAATAATTATACGAAAAAAGAAGACAATGGTACCTAAAAAATTCCACTTGCTATTTTTTAATCTATACTTATATAATAAGAATTAACATTTATCCAAAATAGTAGGTCAAATTATGGTCAATGTCGGATTTGCATTAAATATTTTTCAAAACTGGTAAGTTTTTGTCCTTTTCACACTTCTCATTAATTATGTCTTTTTCACACTTCTCATTAATTATGTCATTTTCACACATCTAATTAATTCATTGATTACGACATAATTATCATAAATCATTTCATCTGAGCTTTTATCGTTAAAATGTATAGCGATCTGTTATGACATTATCCCATTGATATTTCCATGAAGCGTCCTTATCGCGTTCTATTTTTTGGTAACCACTCTATATCAATAACCAGATATTTAGTTAATGATAGCACACGTATTTATTTCAAGGAGCGGATATTCTTTGACCTTTAATTAATCTGAACTGATTGCCTTGACTTTTCAATTTTTAAAAACATTTTTTTTAAATATTTCGGCTTAAGATTCGGATTTTATTATATAAGTCATCGGATTGTTTGAATGAAAATGAATGAAAATAATACCAAAAACAGGTAGCCTTATTCATATAACCAATCTTAAAATATTAGTTTGTTCACCAAAAAGAGACAAATCCTAGAAATCATAAAATATTAATTTGTTCACAAATCTTAAAATATTAGTTTATTCACCACAAATAGTAGTTTGATTTTTAGGATTTGTCTTTTTTAAAATATTAGTTTGTGATAATGAAGAATTACCAAATAATCAAACTCATAATGTTGTGTACAAGGAGGTTTTTAATAATATATGATTGTTACCGAACTTTTTATGATTCAACAATATTCCTATGTATTTTAATGATTTCAATTTCGATCCTAATGCACGTGAGGTTATATTATTCTTCCAAATTTTACATCTCGTGCATGGCACGGGTTACGTACTAGTTATTATTATAGAAGAAAAAGGCCAGAAATTCTATGACGCCCATGTGGGCACCATATGGTGTCATAATCTCACGATCCAACGCCTAATATCCATTTTATCAATTCCACAATGAATATTAGGCGTTAGATCGTGAAGATTATGGTACCATATGGCGCCCATGTGGGCGCCATAGAATTTATGGAAAAAGGCAGGAATATATAATAATAATAATAATAAATAAAAGTGTTCGTACTTTCCGCACACCGGATGTGTCCTTCCTCACATATCTTCTCCACCGAATGAAGTGCGTCTACTTATTGACCCCATCTTTTGCGTCACTTTCCCAAAATACCCTCGTCAACTCTCCTTACATTTTCCCGTCCTTTTGCCGTACGGCATGTGATAACGGCGCTGTCAAACTCTCTTTATAATTACCAGAGTACCCCCATCCCTTTCTAGGAAAAAATATTCATTTCTTTGTGGAAAAAATATTATTTTCCATTGTTAGTAGGTGACCTGAATTTTTATGGAGTAATTAGTATAAAGATGTTATTCTACTTAACAGCTAATTATTGAGCCTTTTTTTTTTTTGATGGATTCTCTTGACACCACAATAGATATAACTATTTGCATCATGCTTTATGTGGCTAGCTAGAGTATGGAGATCCATAGGAGGTTGTGTACTGGGACAATTTAGATTAGGATTTTCGGATGTCTTCGTATGCTTGAGCTCGAGTTCGTATAGTAATATAGGTTGTACAGATCGATTTGGAAATGAATGCATTCTTATAGATGAATGCTAAGAAAAAAATGATCATAAGTAATAAGCAAACTGAATTCTCACATATTTTATAAACATCTTAACAAAAAATAAAGGATTTTGAGTGAATATAGAGAATATAAATACATATCGTCATGTATGAAAATTTAAGAATACCTCTCATTATTCTCCATGTACAGTGCCGCACATGGAGTCTCCATTAAGTTTCATAAATTGAATTGAACATTAGAATTTTGTCTTTGAGAATCCCACTCGATTGCTTTTACAAGTAATCAAGGACTAGCTCGAGACGAAAAGACTGGTTGAAAGATGTGGAGAGCATAAAGATTGATATAATACACATAACATAATCTAATTGTTTTACATACCATATTATTAACTGTTATATATTCACACAAATCACATTATTTATCTCATATTTTGTTATGAAATAAATTTTGTTGTGGTACCATCAAATGGCACATTTAATTTTATAGTTTTGTTATATCATCAAATTAAACATTTAATTTTATAGAACAATCAACAATTATCTACAAATGATGTATTTGACACATATTTTAAATAAATACACTTAAAAACCATCTATCCATATATCAATTTATAAATAGATGACTCCATTTTTATATCTACATACTTGAATAATATTATCTTAGACAAACTTATGCTCAAACTGTAAGTTTATTATTAGCCCAACATACTCTTCTCAAGAAGTTTGTCACATATGAATTTTTATTTGAATAATATGGTGAATCAATTCGTTTAATGGTAGACTGCTTTCAAGGAGAATTTGTATGGATATGATCAAAGGGTAATTATGTCCGCACAAAAACTGAGAAAATGCCAAAAAGGGCAATTACGTAACTTCGGCATCATCTCCCTCAATCCGCACCTCCACTTATTGCTCACCTGCCCCAAGTCCACAACTACTCTTCTGTTAACACAGTTAAACCTCCAAAAACACGCAGCATCGTTTTCATGGCTATCACAAAAAGATAAGATCCTCTCCTCCATTATTATATGCACAAACCTCCTCATATATACACACATAAACCATATTCAAACAAATTCGGCTCACCCCAACAGCCATTGATAAAAAGCTTGAGCTGTTCAACAAGATCTAGCCCAGCTCCAAGCTTCACAGCCATGAAAATGCTAAAACCGTCCCGCGAACCCTGCTCGAGCCGGTTTGAACTCCTCTCCGAGGAGATCGTCTTCTTTATCCTCGATTTCCTCGACGAGGACCCGGCTGATCGGAAATCCTTCTCCCTGGTGAGCCGGTCTTTTCACGAATTCGAGTCCCGGCATAGGAGCCACCTGAAGCCCCTCCGCGCGGAGCACCTGGCGAAGGCGCTGGGCCGGTACCCTCACACGGCGGCGCTGGATCTGTCGATGTGCCCGAGGGTCACCGATTTCTCGCTCGGGATTATCTCCGGCCGGTGCAGGGGAATGCTGAGATCGATCAATTTGTCCCGGTCGGGGTTCTTCACGCAGGCGGGACTGTCGGATTTGGTGGCGAATTGCGTGAATCTGGTGGAGATTGATTTGTCGAATGCGACGGAGCTCAAGGACTCCGCCATGGCGGCGATTGCTCAGGCGAGGAGCTTAGAGAGGCTGTGTTTGGCGAGATGTAAGTCGATTACTGATATCGGGATAGGGTGTATTGCTGTGGGGTGCAGGAAACTGAGGTGGCTGAGCTTGAAATGGTGCTTGGGTGTGGGTGATTTGGGGGTGGAGCTGATTGCTGTTAAGTGCAGTGATATGCGGAGTTTGGATCTCTCTTACTTGCCGGTAATTTAATTCAATTTTTTTTTCCCTTTTCGCCTTTTATCATTCATCATCTTTGCTGTTAGCTTGAAGGTTGTGTACTGTTAAGTGTAGACGCTCACCGGTTAAGATATAAATACCTTAGTTCATTTTTTCCGGTGATTTGTGACTGATGAAAATCTGTATAGTGGTAGTGTTGTAATTGAATTTTTCTTGTCACAGATCACCAGTAGGTGTGTATCGCAAATCTTACAGTTGCAGCATCTCGAAGATTTGGTGCTCGAAGGATGTTACGGCCTTGATGACGATAGCCTTGCAGCCCTCAAGCTAGGATGCAAATCGTTGCAGGTACTAATTTCGTGATTAGTCGTTGAAAATCTGTTTGTACTTGAGAATGTTGAATTTTAGAGGTTATGTGTGTATTTGTCTGAGTTTACTGTGTTCGTTCGCAGCATGCTAGAGCTTTAATCGAGTAACTTCGGGGGAGAATTTTTTGTTGGTTGAGTCTATACTAGTCTGCATTTTACTGCAGAAAATTCCTGAGCAATTGAATGTTTTAAAATGCTTTTGATTATGTCATTTCAACAGAAACTGGATATGTCAAGCTGTCAAAACATAAGCCACATAGGCTTATCTTCTCTAACCAGTCTTGCTGGAAGCCTAAAGCAGCTCAACCTCTCGTACGGTTCTCAAGTGGGTATCCCTGCACATCTTTTTCCTCATTCTGTAGTGTAACGATACTAATTTTTCCCAACTAAACTAACTCTCTGGAATTAAATTTTCAGGTCGATCTCGATCTAGCTACTAGCCTGCGAAATCTTTCCATGCTGCAGTCCGTAAAGCTAGATGGCTGCCAGGTCACTTGTTCCGGGCTCAAAGCCATTGCAAAGTGGTGTGTTTCGTTAAGTGAGCTGAGCCTAAGTAAATGCACGAGTGTAACGGATGAAGGGCTCTCGTCAATAGTCACCAAACACAAGGACATGAAAAGGCTGGACATCACGTGCTGCCGCAAAATTACGCATAGGTCCCTAGCCAGAATTGCCAATTCTTGTACCTCGCTTGTTTCTCTCAGGATGGAGTCCTGCACGTCGGTTCCAGCCGAAGCTTTCGTTTTGATCGGGCAGAGTTGTCGTTTTTTGGAGGAGCTTGATGTTACGGATAATGAAATCGATAATGATGGTATATTAAGTACTTCCTTATTTTTCGCTCGGCTGAAGTTGTACTCTGTTGTGTACTGAAATTGAATTTATATTGACACAGGTCTGAAGTCGATATCCATGTGCGCTCGGCTCACGAGCTTGAAACTAGGAATCTGTTTAAACATAACCGACGAGGGGCTTATCCATATCGGCAAGCGATGTTCACAGCTCAAAGAGATAGACTTATACAGGTTAGTGTAGTGCTCATGTAGGCTGCAAACAAACCGAGCGGCTCGCAGAGTCAAAACTCGAGTCGAGCTCGAGCCCATATTTTGCATTGTCGAGCGGCTCGAGATATATGTTGAATTACTAAAATACCCTTTTTATATATTACAACATTATGACATATAGGTGCTTAATGGTAATTTTATTTTTCCACTTAAAAATTTTCGAGCCGAGCATTTTGATTTTGAGTCGATCTCGAGCCGCGCTCAAGCGATTGTACTTTTTTATCAAGTCGAGCTTGAGCCTCATAAATCGAGCTCGAGCTCGAGCAGCTGAAAGAAAAAACCAATCCTGCTCGATAAGGCCAATGCTCGGCTCGGCTCGTTTGCAGTCTCATATCATCAAACATTCTTTTCCCCCTTTTTTTCTGAAATTATTTTTCGATATTTTCTTGTTTATTTCAGATCAGCTGGAATTACAGACTCGAGTATTTCAGCCATAGCTTGCGGTTGCCCACGACTCGAGATGATCAACATAGCCTATTGCGATTTCATTTCTGATAGCGCGCTGATGTCACTATCAAAATGTTCGAAACTGAACACGCTCGAAACTCGAGGCTGCTCTCTTATTACATCCTCTGGACTAGCGGCTGTTGCCGTGGGTTGCAAACAGCTTTCCAAATTAGACATTAAAAAGTGTGGAAACATTGACGATGCTGGAATAATTAATCTTGCAAACTTCTCTCAAAACCTCAAACAGGTAAAAATAAAATAGCTTGTCATTTTTTTGGGATTACTTTATATTTATTAATGGTTCAAAATCACAATCGACAAGGATATATTATATCTCAATGGTGAAACTGCATATCAAGACACCACCTTTAAGGTTTTTGCAATTTAGTCACCACCTTTTACTGTTTGACTTTAAATCACCACATTTCATATGTTTTGCAGATCGATACGTAAATTTAACCCAAATATCAAATATAGTATCGATCCGCAATACATATGAAATTGTTTTGATTTAAACGCAAATAGCAAAATGTGGTGATTAAAATTTTAAAGGTGGTACCTTTATATGCAATTTCGCCTATTTCGATTGATAATCACCAGTCTTGTTAAATTTAAACAATATGCAGATAAATCTGTCGTATTCCTTTGTCACGGATGTGGGACTTTTATCATTAATGGTTCAAAATCACAATCGATTAATAATCACCGGTTAAACACTATGCAGATAAATCTGTCGTATTCTTCTGTCACGGATGTGGGACTTTTATCACTCGCGAGTATAAGCTGTTTGCAAAGCTTAACTGTTCTCCACCTGGAAGGTTTGACACCAATCGGGCTTTGTGCTGCACTTTTGGCGTGCGGTGGAATAACTAAAGTGAAGCTTCACTCCTCGTTTAAACCTCTTTTGCCTCAACGCTTTTTCCAACATTTGGAGGCGCGTGGCTGCACTTTTCAGTGGAGAGCAAAAACATTTCAGGTACTCGTTACTTCTATTTTTTTTATTATATATGTGAATCAAAATCCCGAAATTGTGGAACTTTTTTCGGGTGTGTTCGTATATTTTTGTAACTAAGTTTGAGTTTGTTCGATTGACAGGCCGAGCTAGATCCCAAGTGTTGGAAATATCAGTTGGCCGACGCAGAATAAGGTTTTTTGCTGAGACTTCAATCACAAGATAATGTGGTGGGTTTTGCTGTATTTTTGGAGATAGGTCCTTTGCAAAGTAGTAAAGATCTGCTGTGTTTTGGAGATAGTTTTTTTTGGGGCATAAGCATTTGAAAATTGAAGGCATATTAGATATTATAAAGCCACTTGAAATTTGCTTGAGGGAAAAGTTAAAGTTATGTATGGCTGACTCTCTTGGCCCAGTGTGAATTAATTATGAGACAATTTGTATATGTGATTGTGAACCATCTGAGTCTGAAGAAACTTCATCCCCTCTCTTAGGACAAAAGTCTTGGAAATTTCATTGTACTTAAATTTTGTTGTCTTTATTAATCATTCATGGCAGTATTTATCTCTTATTCTACTTTGATATCCAAATTCATTCAATTTGACAAAGGTGTGACACAAAAAGTAATTTTAATCGTTCATCTTTTGGGTAGTATAATACAAGTTAAATTAAATTACTTTGCACTGATTCACACTTGGCCAGTTAGATTCTGATTAAAATGCGGAACAAAATTGGCAATCTACCAACTCATAATCTTTCAGTGGAAATAAATAAATACATAACAATTCCGAAAATAAATATACGAAACAAAATGAATAAAATATAAACGCATTACATTTTATAGTTTAAATATGCAATTTTTTAAATAAATACACATATTTTCAAAATAAATTATGATACTAAAAAACAAGATATAAATAAAAGTAAGACATTTCTTAATACAAATGTGCATTTTCATTTCATAGTGGAATCTAATAACAATATAATAAATACATAACACTTCTTGGTATAAATATGCAAAATAACATGAATAAAAAATAAAAACATTACATTTCATAGTTTAAATATGCAATTTTTCAATACATACACATACTTTCAAACGCAGTACAAATGTCATTTTCATTTCTTAGTGGATTCTAAGTAACAACATAAATAAAAACATAACATTTTCTAATATTTAACGACATGAATAAAAAATATGAACATAGTCTCACTAAATATGATACTATAAAAACATAGATAAAGTACTATATACTAAATATGCAGTTTCATTACGCAAGCATGACGCATCAAACCCGCTATGCAAGAATAAAAAACATTTGTTTGACTGATTCAGCCGCCGAGTGCCGGTCAAAACTCACACGCTTAGACCATAATAAAAGACGTCTAACATTTCCACGGTCAAACCTCTTTGCTGGCCTTCTCAGAAACATCTCATGGGCACCAATTTTCCACACCAACAAATCAAACAAACCATTTTATACTCTTTATTTATACACCCTTCAAATTCATCTCTAAAAATCTTTCTAAAATCGCCCAAAATCTCTCTCTCTCTCCGTTCAATTCAGATGGCCTACACGATGACGTCATTCACCGATCTCCTCGCAGCCAGCCATGATCAAGAATCAGAAAAACAAGAAAAAACCTCGTTTAATTGGGACAAAAACATTGAGATTCCCACATACAAATCATTTTCACCTTCTTTTTTGCCTTTGTCCCCTCCACCAATCTCTCCCTCTTCTTACCTCTCATTCCCACCTGGCTTGAGCCCCTCTGTTCTTCTTGATTCCCCTGTTCTTTTTTCATCATCTAATGTAAGTTCTCATGACATAAATGTGTTAAAGATTCAAATTTTAGTTATATATGTCTTAAAGATTCAATTTTTAGGTTATTTATGTCTTAAAAGATTCAATTTTTAGTATATATAGATCTTAAAGATTCAATTTTTTGGATATTTATGTCTTAAATATTCAATTTTTAGTATATATGTCCTAAAGATTCAAATTTTAGCTGATATAATAGAACTTTGTAATGAATTTTTCCTTGTTTAATTTCTCTAATGGTGTGTTTGTTTAGGTACTTCCATCTCCGACCACCGGAGCTTTTGCCGGGCTATCGTCCAACGAGACCACCGACGTTAAATATTCCGACTTTTCGTTCCAGTCCCAAACACGGCATTCGGATTCTTGCTTCTCATCTTCTGCAGGAATGAACTCATCAATGGTACCAAACATTCAAAAAATAAAAAAACTAATCTTTTTCATAACAATAAAAAAAGGGTTCTTCACTTCTTGTCTTCTTGAGCTTGAATCTGATTATTTGATGTTTTCAAAAACAGAACTCATATTTCAAAAGCCAACAAGAAAACGAGAAATCTAATCCCCCGAACAAGCCGAAAACCGAGCAGCGGCTTGTAGTCCACGGCTCCCAGCCGCCGGCATATGCTCGGGAGCAGAAAAAGTCAGACGACGGCTACAACTGGCGAAAATACGGTCAAAAACAGGTCAAAGGTAGCGAAAACCCTCGAAGCTACTACAAATGTACCTACCCGAACTGCCCGACCAAGAAAAAAGTCGAACGCGACTTAGACGGGCACGTGACCGAGATCGTGTACAAAGGGAGTCACAATCACCCGAAACCCCAGCAAGGCAAGAAACAATCTTCGTCCTCTGGGTCGTTCGATAATGCCCACGTGGCAGCCACGACTGAATGCTCGTCAGCCTCGTTTGGAGGGGAAGATGATTTCGAGCAAGGCTCGTCTATAAGCAACTCGAGAGGCGAAGATGAAACCGAGCATATAGCCAAGAGATGGTGAGTTTGTGATAAATTAATTAATTGTGTTTAGTAAAGAGAAATGAAATGATCAAATGAATGGTTTCTTTCTTTTTTTCTTTTTTTACTATGTGGGGTTTTTATTTTTATTTTTTTGATTTTTTTTTAGGAAGGGAGATGATGAGAATGAGGGTGTGTCGGCTTATGGGAGTCGAGCGGTTAGGGAGCCGAGAATCGTGGTTCAGACAATGAGCGAAATCGACATTCTTGATGACGGTTATCGTTGGAGGAAATACGGGCAGAAGGTGGTTAAGGGCAACCCGAATCCTAGGTAAATACATTGAGACTATGTTTGGTAAACCTAGATAAGTGAATTTTGAGCTTATAACTAATAGATTATGACTTATGGCTGAAAAGTTAGCTGATATGATAAAAGTGTTTGGTAAAATTAGCAGATAAGATAGCTGAAATAAAATTTTCAATTGGCTTATTTGAAAGTTATTTAATGAAGTTTATGAGATAAGCTTGCGTCCTACCAAACCAAACTTATTTGAATATAGAAAAACTTAAATGCTAATAAAATGAGTTATAAGCTAGGTTCTATTCTTACTAAAAACAACCTGAATTGTATTCACAATGTCGAGNTTCACCAAGAGCTCGATTATTCTTGCAGAAGCTACTACAAGTGCACGTTTCCCGGTTGCCCGGTTAGAAAGCACGTGGAACGAGCGTGCCACGACTTGAGGGCCGTCATCACAACTTACGAAGGCAAACACAATCATGATGTCCCGGCTGCTAGAGGAAGCGGCGGCTATGGAATGAGCCGGGCCCTGCCGGTGGCAAACACAGCTGTAAGGCCCACAGTTGTTAATGGGTCGGATTTTCCGAGGCTGCAGATGTTAAGGGACCAGAGGCCTTGCACTCTCGAGATGCTCCCTGGCTTTGGAAACCCGGCCAAGCAAGAGCCCAAGGACGACCTGTTTTTCGAGTCCTTTTTAAACTGCTGAGTTACAATTTTTTGTGGCTTTTTTTTAAGGGGATTTTGTGTTATGTTGTGTGTATGTACATGTGATGTAGGGGGGTTTTGGAGCAAAATTTTTTCATTTGTTGTATTTGTTTGATTTGGGGTTGTGGTCCTTGTGTGTGGTTTGGTTCCACAAGAAGAAAAAATTTGAAATAAAGCTTTTTTTTAATAAATGTGAAGTCTTGAATTATTGGCTTTGTTTGCTGCTCAACTTCTGTATTTATGGGTGTTTTCATCAGTGGAAACTGGAAAGTGATTAATCACAAACTTGTATATAAGAAACCCAACAAACTTTTTGCTTTCTTCTGCAATTTTCATTCATTTTGCTGTTAACTGCTTATATCGTTGATTCTTTTACCGAAAAAAAAGAAACAAAAAAGTTGTGGACAAAACAGATACAAATAAAGGAGGCGTGGACAACAATGAAAAGCCCGTATTTAGTGAATACGGCTTTTGCATTTTTTATTTGTAAAACGTATTCCGTGAATACGTTTTTTTTTGTAAAAAAAATGTAAAAAACGTATTTAAGAAATACGTTTTTTAATTAAATTACATAGAAAACGTATTTACGAAATACGTGCTTTCTATTTTGATCCACTCCCCCCTTTTTTCTTTGTTTTTTGTCCACTTATTATTTTTTTTTTTTAAATATATAAACTGCTCTTATATCGTTTCATTTTTTTTTTCACTACCCTTAACTTCTTATATCATGTATCGTGACTCAAAAGTTTTTTCACATACAAATTTTTTCCCTTCATTCTATTAAAAAGACAAATTTTCTTACATCATACCACATACATAAAAACTAGAAGCTAGGAACTTTTACTCTTATCCTGCCCTTTCCAAGCTAAAACTAGAAGGTAGGAACTTTTACTCTTACCCTTTCCAAGCTCTCAAGATAAGCCTTTGGTTTTGAACTTAGTCTTCCGATGATACAAAATTTATTTTCTCATGATCATAACAACTAAAATTAGATACTAATTTAGATTTATATATACTCTTAAATAAGGAAACCATTTTTAAAAAATATTTATGTTGTATATTAAAAGTATAACCTTTTTCATTATAAGAAAGGTGTATTATAGTCAATTATATAACACTCTGTTCGTAATATCTAATGGTTTATGGATTGCTCTATTTTATTAGAACATCTTACTAGTTTTGGGATTATTCTATTTTGTTGCCACATGACATAAAACAATTCTAAAAAATTTTAGGTGACATAGAAAATGTTTAGTTGTCTTCATAAATATATAAGTCCTTCTAGATAATTTCTATTATATATTATATTATTTATTTAATATATCTTTTTTCTCTAACAAGTTACAATTTTACACATTTTAATTAATATTAACTATTAGAGACCTAATTTTTTAATTTCCTTTTTTTCCGTATCATACAACATGAAATAGATAATGTTCCATTTGGGATGCGCTTAACTACCCTAAAAATTCCACGCGGCACTAAGAATGACTACAAGCTTTTCAAGTATTTCTAGACATCTTTTATTAAATATACCATACTATATACTACCTCTTTCACTTGTATTTGAAAATCTGAAAATGGTTCGGAGCTTGAAGAATCCAAAGAAGGCGAAATGCAAGAACAAGGTAAAAAAAAAATAAAAAAATCCTATATTTGTTCCCTGATTTTGTTAGTTTAAGAAGCTGTTGATCAGGATTATTCGTTTATCGGTTTATGAAAATACCCATTAACAGGGTTCGAAGAGTTCGTCGTCGAATTCGGGGCCCACAGTGGAGGCTAAGGTGTGGCAACCAGGTGTTGACAAGCTGGAGGAAGGGGAGGAGCTTCAGTGTGACCCTTCTGCTTACAATTCCCTTCACGCTTTGTTTGAGGTCTCTTTTTTTTTCTTTTGTTTTTTTCTCATTCAGTCTTGTTTCTTGTTATATAGTCGAGCTTGGTTTGGTGTGTCTGTGTATGTTTGGTAAAATGCAGCTGAAAATTAGCTGATAAGTGAATTTCGGCAGCTGGTAATTTATGATTGATAGCTGAAAAACTAGTTGGTACAGTAAAACTTTTAATGTGCTTGTTTGAAAAGCTATCTAGAGAAACTTATGGGATAAACTCCATTTTTAAAAAAGGTATATCCTACCAAACCAAGGTGATTTGAATACAAAGCTTATGTGCTAAGCTAAATTAGTTACAAGGTAGATTTTGGTGCTTGACAGACACAATTTTTGTTTCTACTTTTATCATTGTTTCTAATTGTGTTGGAGAGCTGGGGGCGATGTGATTTTTATGGAAGCTTCTCGATAACTTTCAATTTTTGGTGCTTGAAAAGAGTGCTTGATGCAACGGTTGACTATGGTACTGTAGCTGTGCATGTAGGGAAAATGAGTTCGGGTGTTCGACTGTAACATGTTATTCTAGGAAGCTACTTTAGATATTCGTTGTAGCAATAATGATGATTTACTTTGCTAAATTCTTTCTAACCGTGATGGAGTTGAATGACCTGATAATTTCCTTTGTTCTGGGGCAGTTTTGATATATTGCGAGATTCATTGGGATTGGTGCGTATTGTGTTGCTGGAACACAAGTGAGTCTCGAGTCATTCTGAATTTTTATTTTCTGTTGCTGGAATTTATCCTTATATTGAACCGCTTCCTATTCATCAGGCAGAGAAGTCTTCCTATAATTATATTGGAATATTTAAATTATTAAATATTTCTGGGAAGAGACGTGAACTGCTGCCCAACAAGATTGACAAAGATGGTTCTGACATGGACAGTGACAGTAGTGATAGTGATGAGGATGAAGGGGAATACGACAGTGGATCGGGCTCCCAATTTTGCAGGTAAGCTTGTAAAAATCATTTATTTATTTTTTTTTTTTAAATTTTTTATTCAAATTTATATCATTTATTAATGTATCTGCAGTTACGAAAGTCCCTCATGTAGGAGGCGTGAACCGCATACGTGCAATGCGCCAAAATCCTCATATTTTTGCTTCATGGGCAGATACGGGTCATGTTCAGGCAAGTATGTTGTTTATTATGCTATTATGTTTTTTGTTTAGGTGTTTACTCTTGTGTATAAAGGAAAATAGCTATGAAGTTTTGTGGACTTTGATGTTTTAATATTTGTTTTCTAGTACATCGGAAATTAATTCTTCGAAATTAGTTCTTCTGGATGATGAAAGTTTTATTTAGTGCTCATGGTAATTGGATAGAACTCGAAAATATTAGTCTAGAAGATGAATATCTTGTGTAGCTCGAATATTGTAGATTTCCCGATTTGACGCTTTTTACAGATGTGGGACTTGAGCTCGCAATTGAAGTCTTTGGTAGAATCGGAAGCTGAAGCTATCCATTCGGGACCCACTGATTCCAATCAAGTTCCTATAGTCGGATTTTCTGGACACAAAGATGAAGGTTATGCCATGGATTGAAGTCCTCTCATTGCTGGAAGATTTTTGTCGGGTATGAGTTAGCTCGAAGCTTTTCATTTTATTGCTGTAAAGCTTCTTCTCAAACCATTTTTTTTTAGTTATGTTTTTGGATTCTGCTTTTCATGCAGGGGATTGCAAGAGTAATATTCATCTGTGGGAACCCGCATCTGATTCTACATGGAATATTGATGCGAGTCCCTTTGTTGGTCATACTGCAAGTGTTGAAGATTTACAGGTGTATTTGTGCTCCTATTTTTTTTTTTTTTTTTAGAATAATTATGGAAATTACTCCCGAGTTTTCATACAAGTGCAAAAAACAACAAAGAAGTTTTGAATAACCCGACAAAAAAAAGAGTTCTGAATATATTGATGGCATGCTACCTGACGCTTTCGAAAATTCCTTTGCTTAATGAAGTGGAAATTTATAGATTGATTCAGAGTGCGAGTTTTTTATTCCAAATATTCCCTCGGTTTGACTGTAAATACCAAAATGTAAGGAGTGTTATTGTATCCTTACGTTTTTTTGTTAAAAATATATATATGGGGAAAAATACTGTATCGATGGTCAACTACTTAATTTTCAGTGGAGTCCAACAGAACCATTTGTATTCGCCTCATGCTCAGTCGACGGAAGGATTGTGATTTGGGATGTTCGTTTGGGAAAATCACCTGCAGTTTCGATCAAAGCACATGAAGCTGATGTAAATGTCATAACATGGAACAGGTGTTAATACCACATATGATCATCGTTAATTTAGCCACTCTTTTTTCTTACTTTTATTTTAAGCATCGTCATTTGCAATTCTCTTTTTTATGTGCCTAAGCCTGTCGAACTGTATGCTAGCATCCGGTAGTGATGATGGGACATTTTCTATTCGAGATCTTAGATTGCTCAAGGTACCGATTATTGAGTGGTCAAAACATCTTAATCGTTTTTTTTTTCCTTATACATTTTATAATTTTTTTTGGCTCCATTGCCTTTTTTCAATAAGTCGAAACCGTTTAAACTTGCCGATTTTTTCGCACAGGAATTTTTTTTTTTTTGGTACAATGAACCTTCCGGTTTCCGAATCCCCGAGGGGACCGACTAATCCGGAATCGAGCCGGGTAGGACCACAAGGGCAGCAAAGCTCTACCTCAAGAGTTTTAACACAGCTGCATTTTGAGTACCATAAACACCCCATCACATCCATCGAGTGGAGCCCACACGAGGCCTCCACATTGGCTGTGACTTCATCGGACAATCAATTGACGTAACTAACTTTTTCTTTTTAAAATCATTAAATAGTTAATATCCTGTCTTAATTTTTTTTTCCTTCATTTTTTATTTTTTTTTTTTGCCACTACAGAATATGGGGCCTTTCATGGGAGAGAGATGAAGAAGAGGAGGCAGAATTCAAAGCCACGACTAAAGAAACAGTCGATGCCCCCACTGATTTGCCACCTCAGCTTTTCTTTGTTCATCAGGTATTAATTACACAAATGTATATTCTTTATGCTCTCTCCCTGAACACAAAATCTACAGTATCGTTTAGAAAAAATTACCCGTTTCATTTTCTCTTATTACAGAAGGACCCCAATTATCTTTCGAAATGTACAATCACCTTCTCCCTCGAGTTTTTGTATTATCTTATATTCAGATGTAGAAGGTGGCAATGGGCCAACCTTTACAGCTTGGTTGGGCTGGCTCAAAATTTGCTCTGGCCACCATTTTGAAGGCCCAGGCCCAGGCCTAGCATATAATACTAAATAAATAACACTTATGTGTTCATACATTTTGCAGGGTCAAAAGGATTTGAAAGAACTTCACTGGCATTCACAAATACCGGGAATGATCATATCCACAGCTGCTGATGGCTTTAACATATTAATGCCTTCAAATATTGAAACTGCTCTTCCTGCCTTCAACAATACTTGATTTCTTCGTAAGTT